TCAGGCAGACCTTGAATCTGTGACTCTCCTGTCTCAGGTTCATGATTAGGCTGTGCTATTAGGCCTGACTGGGACTGAGCTTTTAAACCATCAAAGACCCTAGGAGTCCATGGACCGCACTAGAGAGAGGAATTCTAGGGAGAATAGTATTACTAAATGAAATTATGTTACAGAGAAATGTAATTTTATACTGTTACTGAACTATAGAGGCGAACGTATCAGTGACACTGAGATAACTACAATCAAGCATAGGCTTTCCACTGCTGTGACAAAGTGCCAGAGTCAACAATGGAAGAGAAGGGAAGGGTTATTTTGGCTTTGGTTTTTAGAGGTTCCCATCTGTGGGTGCTTGGCACCATTGTTTTGGCCTGCGTTGAGGCAGAACATCAGGGAGAGAAGGAGCTAGGTGGGAAAAGCTGGTCACCTCCCACTGGCCACAAAGCAAAGAGAGAGAAGGGAAAGGCAAAAGACCCTTTTGAAGGACACATACCCGGTGACCTAGCTTCCTGCCTTTGGGCCCCAGCTCCTGAGGGTTGCATGACCTCATGCCACAGGCTGGTGATGAGGCCTTTAAGATGTGAGACAGCAGTGGACATTTAAGATCTAAACCTTAACAACCTCTTTCATAAATGTTAAGCTATTGTCATATATGTATGTGCATGTGCATATATATATACACACATACGTGTATGTGGAAAATCTTTCATACATGCGCCAAACCATGACCCTTATCTGTTGTTTCAGATAGGCTGATAGGGTTGTGGGAAATGCGAGACTGTTTTTAAATCTAAATGTATCACAGTAAAATGAATGTAGGTTTATTAAAGAATACTGAACAAATCTGAATAATATTGCTGTTTCCATAAGTAAGATAAATGTATTATTTTAACATTTGGATATTTCAAATATGGGAAGGGAGTATAGAACATTTGAGCTGAAATAATCAGCTAATTTGCATTAGAAACCTACTACAAATTTAAAAAGCATTCATTATAAACTCTCAGTTAATGAAGACAGGCCACCTTGTGATTAATAGGCTTTGAAAGCTTGAAATGAACATTTTTTAGAGGTAGCTCAGCGAGGCAATTTAGTCTCTGCTGCTTAATATTTCCTTGTCTATAATCTGTTTCTTTAACCCAATCATGGCTACTAATTAATCATCATAAAGTCATTATTCTTTAAGTATTCCCACACCATCTCAGGGTAACAGGTACAGTGACGTGAGCAGTCTGTCACCTTCAGCATTTGCAAAAACATTGAATGAGCTCCTGACAAGAGGAAAACACTAAAATCACAGTTGGTCTTAAAACAAGTTATTCTATTTTGGATTTTAAATAAAGCCCAAACTACAAATGTCACTGGGAATGCGAGGATGTTCGTTTGGAGTGTCCCATGTTATCGGGGAAAGTTTTGAGTCTCCGTCTGTTTTGAATTTTGTTAATAAAATAATTTAAGAATGGACTCAGAAGGAAGCTATATTAGCATTTAAAAAACAAACAAATAAACAAACAAAAACAAACCCCCAGGGCAGGCAAGCCGTAAATTTCAGCAGCTGTCTGGAGAGCTGTCAAGAACAGATGTGGAAAGGGTTGGGGGAGTAGCTTCAGAGAAAAAGAGAGAAAGCCCAGAGTATCCCGGAAAGTATATCCAGGCACTGATGAATATCCAAATAATAATAATAATAATAATAATAATAATAATAATAATAATAATAATAATAATTTTAACATTTTAAAAATAATAAGATTGAAAAAATAAAATTTAAAGAAAGAAAAAGGGAAAGTTAGTCATTCTGTATGATTCAGAAAAGCAGGCGGACTTAGCCCAAGCACCCAGCTGGGGCTCCGTGAAGAGACTGCACAGGGGCAGGGATTCTGGAAGGAAATATAAATTATTTCCTTAACTGAATAATTCATCTCCCCATCTTTTTTATTGTGCCTTAAAGTGAATCATCCTTTTTGAGGTGTGGTGTCTTAGCCAGGACTCTGTTTTGGAGAGTTTGGAATGTTAGATTCCCACCCAGGGCAGAGAAATAGCTCTTCCTTGGTCACCACGGAGCCCTGATCAAGGCTGCAGTGACATTCCCGTCTCTTCATTTAGGAGATGGGTTGAAATTGGGGAGTAGATATAACTCATTTCACCCTAAATTCTAGGGTCCAACTCTGAAGCCGTTCAGAGGGACTATGTCCGATCTGGAGTTTCTGTCCCTGGTGCCTACAGGCAAGGGTGATTCAAGAGCAGTCATGGACCGGTGCTCCCCTCAGCTCCCCTGGCCAGAGAAGCAAGGATGCTCCTGGAGGTCCTGCTTTTGGAGTTCTTGCCCCTAAACTGCCTAGCTGGTTTCCACCTCCTCTTCTCACCGCAAAGCAAATTGCCTGTTGGCCCTGGGAAATGGGAATCTCTAGAAGCAAAAGTGAGTACCGGAGTACTTTTCCGTGGACTTTCACTTTTGACATTGTTAACAACAAATTGTGGAAAATAACAGCCACATTTCTATAAATATTTATGTTACGTGCTGCAAGAAGCAGGTGTGAAAGGACAGCTAGTCCTCCTTGAGGAAGCAACAAACGAGAAAATCGCCTCTCCCAGCCCCGTTCCAATCTGGATACTGGCTATGGGGCAGGGATAGGCAAGTCCTTCTGAACGCTGTATGTCCTTTCCCATTAAAGCTTAATGGGAAAACTGGGATTTACAATCATTAAAGGTTACGAAATTAAAAATTGTGCTTTGTTTCAAAAAACTCAAGGCTACGGTTCCCAGGCCCTTCCACTAAGAAACAGTTACTTCATCACTTCTGCTCTTGGGAAAAGTGCTTGGCACACAGTGAACAGAAATTAAAACATGAGACAGCAGATCTCCAAAGTGCTTGCAGCCTAAAAAGGTCCGTAGGCATCTTTTATGTAATAAGTAATGGGCTAGCTGGAAAACTGCCTTTCAAAGCAGAAGCCTGGGGCCAAAAAGGATGGAGACATGTCAAGGCCTTTGAGAAATAGAGTAACATGAGGTAAAACTGGGAAATAGTCAGGGCAAGTGGTTTTTTTTTTTTTTTTAATATCAAGCCACTTAGTGGAATATTTAATGAAGTTTTATTTAAACAGATTCTACCACATGAACATTTGCATTCTGCTTTGCTGGGCAGTGTGGACTTTGGGAGTCCTAGGCACTAAACAGGGTGCCAAAGACGGCTCTAAATTGCATTGCTAGCCTGGGTGGTCCAAAGGAGAAGTGTGGAGAACCAACAATAGTCCTTTGCTTTCTGCCAAGTTCAGCTTTTCTGCAAGAAGTTTCTAGAAGATTCGTATTGCAGATTGTCAGTGGAATTTTTACACCCACTTGATAGTCTGTGATTATAAATTATTATGTACTAAGAGCAGAAAGGAGTCATTTCTAATGTGAAAGAGGGAGGGAATATTGTGAGATTTAATTTCCTGTAGCTGAGAAATGGAACGTATTTGAAGTATTTCCCCCCAGATTTATATTCAAGTAAATGTTAGGTTAAGGGGAGTGACAAAACAGTATGGAGGAAATTCACACCCAAGAGCGAGATAAGGCCATGCTGGCTTTCAGGTGACCTATCTGCCAGTCTAGGTGAACAACTAGCAGGTCAGGCTGTTTCTGAGAAGAAGGCGAATATCCCAACAAGGGAAATGTCAGTTTTAAACATCTTACTGAGGAAACTCTGCAGTTTCGTGAAACAGGAAAATCTGCTACAGGTCTATACATTTTAAACCATAAGGCAATCCAGATTCATTAGTCCTTGTCTCCTTGAAGGCCACCCGCCCCCAATTTGTTTGCATTAGCATTGGAGTGCAGGAACAATTCCTTTTTCTCTGGAAAGTTTTTACGTTTACTTGTCGTGTTGTATGCCATGGCATGCATGCACACCGCAGAGGACAAGTTGCGAGAACGCATGCTTTCCTTTCATCACGTGGGTTCTGACCATCGTGCCCAGGCGATCGGGCTTGGCAGCAAGAACCCTTACCTACTGAGTCATCTTGGATGCCCATGGAACAATTTTTTTCCTCTCCCTCAGCTCTCAAGTTTGGCCAACTAGGCCTTGATCTGCATGATATTCATTAAATACCTTATGAAAAGTGGTTGGCTTCAACGGTGCTCAAGACTGTGTTTCCACCCATCCCTGTTCCACGCGGTTCCAGGACGTCAGCCCTTTATAAGCAAAGCCTCTTTGTCCTCGGACCTTCAAGGACAGTTTGGAGCTGCTGTCTAGAGGCGCCGAAGAACCAGGTGCTGAATCATTAATTTCATATGTCAGATTAGGGCCAAATGTCTTTGAGCTTCATCGCCAAAGTAAAATAACCAATGCTTCAAAAAAAAATTTTTTTTGTTTTGAAACACGCTTTTATTGTGGGCCAGACACCGCTAAAGATTTTCTGCATGATGGATGTCTGTCAGTTCCCTTCTATGAGAACCTCAGATTGAACGTGCGAGCGTAGGGAAGGGCACAAGGGTTCCATTCTCTGCTTGCACATCCCCAATGATGGGATTAATGTCTGGCAACTGGCAAGCTTTCCACAAATATTTGATTAAATCAACCTTCCCCAAACCAATAACTTCTAGTCATTTATTCATTCAAAGTTACTGGAACTACCGCGTTAGTGAATCTGCAATAAAAAGTGTGGGGGATCCCCGCCCCCCCCCCAAGGATCTTTAAATACAACAATGCATCCGTCGTTTATTAAAAAAACGAACATCGCGTCCAAACCCAGTGCTATGTTTTGTATTTCTGGCCCTAGGTTGGCCTCGGTTCCTCCCCGGGAGGCGGGTTAAGGATGCCTTTGCTGCCCTTGAGTCTCCTTCCTTTGTAGTTTTTTTGGCTTGCGCGCGGTTACGCTGGCCCCCGCGGCTGCGGAGCGCGCAGCGCGGCCACGCCCGGGAGCGCGCAGCTCGGGCAGCCAGGCGGGCGGGGCCGCCTCGGACCGTCGAGCGGCTCCTCGCGCGGCGCCGCCCTCCTCCTCCTGCTCCTCCACCTCCTCCTCCTCCCCTCCTCCCTCCCCGTGTGGTTTGTGGTATCCCTGGAGGGACAGAAGGTGTCCTCCCGGGTCCAGGCCCTGACAGGCAGCTGGGCGGCCGAGAGCGCGGATGCTCGCAGGCGTGCGCGCGTGGGAGGCGGCTGCGCTCTTCCCCCAGGGCCCGAGCGCGGCCTGAGGATCCCCGCTCAGCCTGGGCGCTCAGTGGCCGTGGACTGGGCCTTGGGCGCGCGCGAGGTGGTGGCGGCGGCGGCAGCGCGGGGTGGGGTGGGGGAACCCCGGGACCCCAGGCCGCGCGAGCCAGCCCCGAGGCGCCTCGCCCACGCTCGCTCCTCTTCCCCTCCCCCGCTCCGCTTCCTTCCTCCGTCCAGCCCGGGCCGGACGCGAACCGGGGGCCAGCCTCGGGGACCGTTCAACTTGGCGGCTCCCGGGCCCGCTGCCCGCGCGCTAGTTGTGAGGCGTGGCCGGGCGAAGGAGGCGCTTGGGGGGCGTGGGGCTCCCCAGCTGGCGGCGGCGGCGGCGGCGATCGAGAGGGCGCGCGGGACAATGAGCTGGGCAGCTGCGCGCCGCGGCCGCCCTTAGCTGGCCGAGCGGGCCCACCTGCCGGCATGATGGGCCGAATGGCCGAGCCAGGTGTCCCGCTGCTGTAAGGCCGGAGCGCCCAGATCGCGGCGCGCCCGGGGCGCCGGGGACGTTCCTTGATTAATTCATTGATTTGTGGAGCGCTTCTCCCGAGCAGCCGCGATGGCCAGCACCAGGAGCATTGAGCTGGAGCATTTTGAAGAACGGGACAAAAGGCCGCGGCCGGGGTCGCGGAGAGGGGCTCCCAGCGCCTCCGGGGGCAGCGGCATCTCCGGCCCCAAGGGCAACGGGCTCATCCCCAGCCCGGCGCACAGTGCTCACTGCAGCTTCTACCGCACGCGGACCTTGCAGGCCCTCAGCTCGGAGAAGAAGGCCAAGAAGGCGCGCTTCTACCGGAATGGGGACCGCTACTTCAAAGGCCTGGTCTTCGCCATCTCCAGCGACCGCTTCCGTTCCTTCGATGCGCTCCTCATGGAGCTCACCCGCTCGCTGTCAGACAATGTGAACCTGCCCCAGGGCGTCCGCACAATCTACACCATCGACGGCAGCCGGAAGGTCACCAGCCTGGACGAGCTGCTGGAAGGTAGGAGGGGCGGGCACGGCGCGGCAGGTGCAGTGGCTGCGGCCCGCTGCGCGCTTCCCCCCGCCCAGTGCCGGGCAGCCTGCCGGGCGCTTTCTAGGCAGCCTCGGGGATCGTCTGCCCCTCTGTAGTTGGTGTTGGGCCCGGGGTGCACACATGCTCTCTCCTTCCCAGGAGATTTGCCTTTTTTAAAAGGGAAGAAAAGTCTAACGATTCGAGACAAACACAGACAATGGTACCTCTAATATTAGCCAGCTTATTTTGGCAGGAAGGGCAAACTGTTGGAAAGCATGGCCCTCCAGTGAGGCGCCGGGCAACCCTTGGTGGAGCCCAGGGCAGCACCTGTGCTGTCCCCGTGTTTGGGATCCCGCACACTTTCTGTGCACAGCTGTGGTTCTGACTGAACCTGCTTGGCTTTTCACTTGTGGCAGAAGTCACTTGAAATCAAGAGGGGCGATCCAACATAGCAGGTCTCAACCTTGGCTTCATCTTGGACCATACTGGGGGCTTTTTGAAATATAGGTGCCTGGCCCCACCCCTTAGATATTCTGATTGCTTGGTTTAGGGTATGACTTGGGCATTTAGAGTTTTGAAAGTTCCTCAGATGATTTCAGTGTGTAGCCAAAATGGACAACTAGCCGTGTTTAAAGGATTTTCCACATTTGATCGGCAACGAGGTGAATCTATCCTGCCTTCTCCCAGAAGACAGTAACTAGGGTCGGGGAACCAGCAGCAGAGGCCTATTAGGAATTAGTAATCCTGGCACACCAACCATGCATCACTCAGAAGGACTGCTGGCAATATGTTGGGCCATTCTTGAGTTCCTGCAATACTTACTTGCTTTCAGGAAGGGAGGGGTGGCTGGTAGTTAAGAAGCTGATTTTTAGTTCTGAACAGCACTCAGATCAGGCAGATCCCTCAGTGTGTATGGAGTGTTTACATGGAGTTACCTCTCAGGCATCTTTCTTAGTGCAAATAGGGCATTCCCTGTTGTCATAGCAACAAGAGGAAAGAAGCTGATCCCTGAACTAGGCGGTTTTCTTATTGCAGCAGGGGCTTATGTTCTCAAGTCATTTTCTCCCTTTAGCAGATGAGGAAATGTAAGCACCATGCATGCCCAGGTTACTTATTTCTAATAGCCCTCAGTTTATGCGTTTCGTTTTACAGTTCACCTCTAAAATAATAATAATAATAATAATAATAAGGAGGCCATTCTGAGGAGTCCTCAAAGTGGCTGAGTTTCTCTGTTAGTTTCATCAAATGTTACTCTTGCTCTGGCTCCCTGACAACCCAATAAAAATTAAGTTGTCTTCTTGTGTGTAAGTTATCAGCAGGAGGGGGCTAACTAATACATTGCCTTGGTGAGTTCTGGTTTTAAAGGCTAAAAGAAGAGGGCAGGAAATCTGTAGGTGTGTCAGCTAAATGAAGATAGCTTTGTTGAGAGGACCGCATTACTTTGTTGAGACAAGGTCTCACCATGCAGCTCTGGGTGTCCTGGAACTCGCTATGTAGAAGAGGCTGGCCTTGAACTCATAGAGATCTGCCTGTCTCCAGTTTTCTGAAAACTGTTTCTGAAACCAGATTTCTGTCTGACCGTCGGAGTAGCAGCCCAGGGAGAGACTCAACACTGCCTGTTGAGTAGACACTTGTGACGCACAGGTCCTCAGGTGATGTACCTACTCTACCTCCAGGTGGCTAATAATTTTACTGTCCTTCTCTGAAGTTATTTTGACAAGGTATTGTTAAGTAAAATTAAACTGCTTCAGAAATGACTGTGGTCATCAGAAAGTGAAGAGCATTTTCTGGCTTAATGAAAACACATGTTACTTATTGAATCCTAGGGGATGGGTGGCCTTCTGAGTCACTTCAAGTAGGTGGTTGGGAAATTTCCTTGAAGTCTTTTCACTGGCTGGTAATTTGGAGAATGGGGATTTGGACAAACACTGACTATACATACAGTCCAAACAACTGCACCACATTGTAAATAATGGTACAACAAATGGTTTCTGCGCCTTTGTTGACTTGGTTCAAGCAGTTTTCATAATATAAAATGACTGTAAGAGAGGAAAGTTAAACTTCTTTGGTTATAGTAGAAAGATGTCTAATAGTGGATCTTTCTGTAATAATTGAACCGTGGCACATGCCTGTGATCCCAGAACTCCAGAGGTATAGGCTGCTGCAGAATCATCAAAAATTTAAGGCCAGCCTGGTCTAAATAGTAAGTTCCAATCCAGCCAGGGATACATAGTGAGAACTTGTCTTTAACACTGAGCCATTTTTTTTTTTTTGAGTGTCTGTCATGCAAGCATGGGGACCAGAATTTGGATCCCCAGGACCCACATACATGCTGGTAGATGTGGGGGCTTGCCTGTAATCCTAGCTTTGTGAGACAGTCAGGAGATCCCCAGCTGACTACTGAGACCATGTCAGTAAGCCCTGGGTTTAATCAAGGTGAAGTTAATTAATTTCACCTTAATTAAGGTGAAAGAGTGGCTGAAGGTAAGTCCCAGCCTCAGCCTACCACATGCAAGTCCTCATGTGTGCCTAAACGTATGCAGACATGCATCGACACACAGGAAGTTTCAGGTTTCCGTTACAATCATGTGCTCCAGTGTTCAGATTGGTCCCGCCGAGTCAGGCGGCTCTCTGAAGTTACTCACGTCAGGGAGAGTACAGGGCCGCCTGTGTCTTCAGGCCTCTCCACTTCCCGTGAGTCAGTTGTTAAAAAACGTTTCGTGTCCTTCGCCTCTCCCAGGCCAGCAAACATACTTTAGGAGCGATGAGAACAAGCTAAAATTGACTTCAGTGAAGACTAGAGAGCTTGACTCAAGACACAGTAAGGCTCCATCCTAGCCGCCAGCCCGTTGACCTCAGCGTACAAAGGAAACGGGCATGGCCCAGATTTCTTTTCTCCCGCCCTTGACCTTGAACGTCTCTGGAGGATAGAGCTGACCTGGTGCAGGACAGTGTTCCTCCAGCGCGGTGACTAAGCCAGCCAGTTGATGTATCCAGCTTTCTGGATTCATGTTGCTGAGTGGGCAGGGTGGACAGGGAGTGTGGGAAGATCAGGTTCATCCTGCCAAGCTGGAGTATCTCTAAAGGTCCATCCGGGGTGTCCAGATCAGGGCTTGTAACGTTTTCCCGCTCATCCGTCCCCTTTTGCCCAACACAAGTTGTACCTAACCGGGTTGTAGGGATATAAAATGATATCGCATTTACTGAAAGTAGATCGTGAAGAAATTTATCTTATTTACAATTTGTTTTATTACATTTGTTTCTGTGTACGTGTGTGGGCATGCACGCCACTTTGAGCATGTGGAGGACAGAGGAAAACTTTTAGAAGTCTGTCTCTCTGTCCACCACTCTGCTTTCTCTGGGAACAAATGTAGGTCATCAGGGTTGGCAGCAGACTGAGGCTATCTTGTTATCCCTGAGGAATTTTTTTTACTTTTACCTCTGTGTGTGTGCGTGTGCCTGTGTGGCTTTGTTTACCAGCTGCATGCAAGCACCCATGGAGGCCAGAGGGTTCCTGGAACTGGAATTATAGGTGGTTGGGACCTCACATGGGTAGTCCAATTAGTGCCCTCTTGAGTCTGTTCTCTACAGTAGACTCAGGGCATTCTGAGGGCAGGGGTCTTAGTCAATAAAGGCATTGACTTAGAAATAGTTCTAATACTTCGTCCTAGGACATTTTATACAAATAAATGTTGGTTATTGGTTGGTTGGTTCAAGATATTTGTAAAAATATGTATTTTGAAAAATTGGATTCTGTTTTAGCTAATGTAATATTTCATAGTCAGGGGAAACACAATCTTTGCAAACTTCCCAGTGTGGGAGGAATGACTCTTATATAATAACTTTCTGTGGCTCTCGCCTCCCTCCTTCTCAAGTATGAAAAGCAGATGTGCCATACACAGCTGCAGAATAAGTCCTTTGCAGAAGAAGAATTTTGGATTTTAAAATTTGAGTGAAATATTAGGGGAAGAAAATGAGAATTTTGGAGAGCAGTCGTGAAATTGGAGTATTATACAGTAATACCCTGGGAGTTATAAGACAAGGGCAATATTTCATGAGGTTTTAAGCCACGGACATGGGTATTTTATGGTCCTGTTTTGTGCGATAAAGGGAACTAGATCTCTCTGACAGTGATTGGTAAGCTCCTTCTTCAGGATTCATAGGCAAAGAGGTGTCTGGCTAGGGCCTCCCCCTCATCCCATCTTCCCACTGAGGGTGAGAGAGCTGTTTCTGTTTACCACAGCCATCATTTACTAAACGTTGTAGCTGTAACTATTGAGTGAGACGTTTTGCTTGGTTCATTTCCTCTTACCACTTACAATATCTGGTGAGAGACATGGCTGCTTTATCCTCTGTGCTCAGAGAAGATAAAGAAAAGCTCTCTTGTCTAGTGGTAAGAGGTAGGCATGACACTTGAGCCTTTTAAACATTCCCTGCTCAGGTTCTGGGGATCAGCACATGCTGGGCAGGCAGAGCTCTGCACCTCCTTGGCTTTGAACTTGCATTCCTAAAGCTGCTTTGCTCCACCATCCACTGAGAAGTGGCGGGTGGTGTGAGGGCCAAGCGCTTCTGGGTTGGACTGCTCTCTTCACGAAGGAGGTCCACGTGGGTTTGTCTGCTTCTGCCCTAGGAAGCTGCGGCCAGGAACTGCCTTTGTGATCAGGAGCTGTCCCTCACTAGATAGATGCTCGGCCTCCAGAGCCGTGAGAAATATATTTCCGTCTTTATGAGTCACCTAGTGTGATTGGTAGTTAACATTGATTATCGACTTGACAGGATCTAAAAATCAGCTAGTAAACAAACACCTAGGCACGTCTGTAAGGGAGTCTCTAGATTCTTTGGGAAGACCCACTCTAAATGTAGGTGGCGTTGGGATGCTAGACTGAGTGAAAACTGGAGAAATCCAGCTTAGTACTTGGACTCATTGCCCTCTGCTTCCTGATTGTGGATACAGCTGCCTCATATTCCTACAGACATGGCTTGATGGA